CTGCCTGCCTGCCTGCCTGCCTACCACTCACTACGAGGACGACCACAGCTGTTACTGCCACTGCCACCTCTACGATCTTCAGTTTGAGCATTGTCTTGTGTAACAGTAGAAGCCTTCGCGGCAACTTTTTGGGCTGCAAGAAACAAGCTAAAGCAGACAAGATCCGATGAAGCGACGCGAGCAAGTTGAGTGATGTGTTGTCTACACCCTTGCAGGGTTCAAAACCATGAAGCATCAGCGGACATCACTTGAGCATCTGACCAGGTTGGTGATTTACTTGTACTACACGCTGCAGTTGGATTTGGATGTGAGTTATGAACATTGCGTTTGTAGCAGGATTCGGCAGCAATTCTGCGCGACATAGGCTTGTAACGGAATTGCCCGGCTTCCAACAAATTCCCCTGCAACAGAGCGTTTTTGCGGGATGCGTGTACGAGACTTTCGCGACTAAAGTCTGTCACAGCAAGCCGCAACAAAGGGGTATGTGGGGGGGGCCTCTGACAACAGCGATTCCTGATCCACAGCCATTCGACTTTGTGTGAAACTTGCACTGATCCTCAACTTATTGGGACAAGATTCCGGGTTCAGGGTTGCAAATCCGAAGTCAACAGATCGGGATGGTTAAGTGGGATTCAGACACCCACCCTAAACTCTAAACCCTANNCCCTAGACCCTAAACCCTCAACCCGCCTTGAAAGGTGCCGCCAGACACGGTTGTGGAGCAGCTGGAAGAGGGGTTCTGCTACGGGGATTCAGATGAGGTCCTGCGTCCGGCCAAGGCATGACCTTGTTGCTTTTCCTGTTGTTCCCAGACACCCTTAAGGATCCAAAACATGGAACCCCCAAATCCCTAGTCTCCCCAATGTTATACTGGGTTCATATTTGGGGGCTTCCTTTTTTTTGGATCCTTTAGGGGGTCTGGGTTGCGATTGCTTAGAAGTTTCATGTTCTCGCTATTATGACTATGGTGAGTTCGATGGTGAGTTTTGGCTTACCCTTCATTGGTTGGAGCATCAAGGATCCTTCAGTCCAACAGCAATCCCCCATCATCCCCAAATCCCTGTGAACACCAATTCTGTTCATCATGATCTGCACATTCTGGCTGCTTGTGCTTGTGGCAGGTGATCGTGTCAAGCGCGGCGTGAAGGTGAAAGGGCACTTCAAGTTTTTAAGCGGTGTTCTAACGCGAATTTCCTGTTTACTGCAATTTTCAGCGTGATGCAGTGGCCCAGCACACATGGCGCCACAGCAATACATCAAGCCTTCCACCTCTTGCCGACAGTGCAAGTTCTGGCCTTGACTTACCACTGCTTTATATGTGGACACAGTCGGAAGGTGCAGAATGGTACAGGGTGGCAAGGTCGATGCGGACAAAAAGAGGGAGTCTGGGTCTGCTTCTGGGTAGGATCCTATATATTGGGGTAATGTTAGAGATATTGGGGTAATATTAGGGTTATACTGGCGCAATAGTAGGGTTATATTGGGGAACTAGGGAACAGAAAATAGGAGTTTCTGATGGGGATGAACTGCGATGGGGATCCATTTCTTCGTTCTTCGTTGGGCGCCATCTGGGGAGTGTCCATTACTTCTCAACATTTCATGTACATGTATCCCAGAAGAACATTACTGGGGGGATCCTGCCCCTAAACCCTGAACTCCAAACCATACCCCTCAGGGTCCATGTGCCCGCTAATTAGGTACTTGGGGTTTGGGTAATAGTAATTATAGTACTTGTTTTGGGTAAGTATATGATTATCAGGTACTTGGACCCTTAGGGTACAATATGAAATGGTTTTGAAAAAGCCCCGCTCTGAAGCAACGACCCTCCCGCAGGCAGCAACTCTTTAAACAAATCCTGCACTGTACAACCCCAAATCCTGTAACCCTAGATCCCAAGCGCTACATCCCCCACCCTGCCCGAAACCAGTATTAATGTTTTCATTATTACCATTATGGAATCTATTGTTATTGTTATTAAGTTATTATGATTCTCATTGTTAGCTTTGCTATGAAAAACAAAAGAAAGACGGGCAGGCGGCCATCCAAAAGGCGTGTTCAGAGCCATCTTTTAACGTCAGCGTGCGCGCGTGGCTGCGGACGCGACAGCCTCTTGACTTCAACGCCTTGAGCTCTACAGTCTAAACTCCTTAAAGGGGGGTGATATAGGGGGTCATGTAGGGGAATAGTATAGGGCTAGTGAAGGGGATACTAGGAGTTTAGACTATAACCCCTATGACCCCCTATATAAACCCAGTTTCTATTTGATTTTCCATTTTCTTTTCCATTTGATTCTCCATTATAGTTGTTATTAAGGGGGGGTACTAGGAGTTTAGACTATAACCCCTAATTTGCTCATGCATTTGGCAGCTTCCAGAATTTTGCGGAGGTCCCCACAATGAGGAGCATAGTCTTCGAGGTGTGCGGGGGACTTCCCATGTTCTGGACACTCAGATATCTTTGCATATACATTGTCAAAATTATGGTCCCTTTTTGGGTCCCTATTATAATACGGGGCCTAATTTAGGGGACCCAAAAAGAGACCATAATTTTGACAATCGGCACACGCATGCATGTGTGCACGATGTTTAGATATTGAATGTGCGGGCTCGTGTTATGGAGGTTAAGGCTCCAGCTGCCATTTGCGAGGTTTGCGAGTTTCTCAAACTGTGCAGGCTGTCCCATCTAATTCTTCCATCATCCTCCCAAAAAAAACTTGGTGTTTGTAAGGGATTGTACATTTTTGGTGACTTTTTCTGTGTGACTTATTATTTTTGTTTGGTGGCCCTGGCCTGGAGCGTGCTCGAATTTAGGCCTCTCCATGATTTTCATTATTTTCTGTCATATTCAACACGTTTATTTTATTTTTCTTCCATTTTCATCATTTTCTATCATTTTCATTTCAGTTTCTTCAATTTAACACCATTGTAATGTGATTGTTCATCATTCTCATTATCTTCAAAATTTTCCATCATCTTCATCACTTACTTGACTTCTGCTTTCTTTCTGTTGGCTGCTTGGGTTTTTGGCTTCTTGGCTTTTTGGCTTTTGGGCTTCTTGGTGTTTTGGCTTCATGGCTTCTTCGATTTCTAGCTCTGTGGCTTCTCGCTTTCTGTACCAGTAATGTTATTCGGATCATGTTGCTTGCAAATCGGGGGGGGGCGGCGAGCTGCGCCCGCCCCCAACCCCCCCCCCCGCCTTTGATGCCATCCATGCTTCATGCCCTCATGGTTTTCATAATTTCCCATCATTGTTCAACTTTGTTCATCGCTGTTGTTCCATCATTTTCCTCCTTGTCCATTTTCATCATTTTCACGTTTTCAATTTTCATCATTTTTTCACAATGCTTTATGCCTTTTCTTCTTCATCCTGTATCATTTTCATTATTGCTCATTATGTTTTATCATTGTTCATCAGTTCTCATGACTGTTCATCATTTTCTTCATGTTTCATAATGTCGCATCATTTCCATTGTGTTCATCACTTTCTGTGATTTTTTTATCATTGTTCTTTAATGTTTCGTCATTTTCTATAGTTTTTTCTTTTCATTGTCCTGTCATATGTCATGATTTTTCACAATTTTCATCATTTGTCTATCATTTTCTCTTATTTTTCTCTCATTTCATCATTGTCTATCAGTGTCATCATTGTTCTATCATTTTCATCATTTTTCTATCATTTCCATCATTTTTCTATCATCTTCCTATCACTTTCATGACTGTCTACCATTTTCATCTTTTTTTATATCAGTTTCATTCATCATTTTCTCTCATTTTCATGATCTGTCGTTTCCATCAGTCCTCACAGCTTTTGCGCAGAATCGCGCTCTCGTGTGAGGCGTCCTTCGATTCCGGGCCCCCAGCCCCGCCGAAAAATAAGTCACAAAAAGAATTCCACCCTTTTGTAAGGCCCCTGATGCGCACGAAGCTCTACACCCTCAGCCTGAATCCTGATTGCAAAAACTGTGAACCCTAAGCCCTTAACCTCTCAACTTGAGCCACCAGAAGGGTATCTTCACCTCAAGGTTGCTGACTGAATGGAATGATTATATATACCCCAATAATGGAGAATCAAATGGAAAAGAAGATGGAAAATGACATGGAAACCCTAAGTCCCTTTAAGGGGTACTCAACAATGGAGAATCAAATGGAAAACTAAATGGAAGCTGCTATATATATTCATATATATATATATAGATAGGGTATAGGATTGCGGGCGTAGATAGGTCAGAGCTAAAGAAGCTCCGGTGGCCAGTTGCTGGCACGCAGAAAAGGTGGAAAGGGGTGCAAAGAATGGGACCTTTAACCCTGATCGTAAACATACCAATCAATCCCTAAACCCTGAATCCCTGAACCCAAGACACTCTAGCAAATTCCAACTCAACCCACAGTCCTCAACACCTTGAAAGCCCGTGTTGAAACCCTTATATTCCCCCATATGACCCCTATATAACCCCTATATTACCTTATATTACCCCTACATTACTCTATTACTCTATTACTCTATATTACCCCTATATTACCCCTACGTCTGAGGCTTGAGAGCTGCTTCGAAGTCCTGGCGGTCCGAGGCCAGGAGTAGAAAAGTAGTAGTCGGCTGAGTTCCTCAATCATTAAGCAAAGTTTTCTTTCTCTTTTTTTAGGTTTAGGGTTTCAGGTTTAGGGTCTTTTTTTTTAGAGTTTAGGGTTTAAGGTTTAGGGTCTTTTGTAAACTCAATCGAAAGGGGGGTCCTTTTCGGTCCTCACTCGCTTGGGATCCTTGTGGGGAACTAGGGACCCATGCTTTCATTCCCAACTAGGCGCCAGATTAGACCTTCCATTCCTGTAGCAATCCTATGATAGCCGAAGACTCCTCCTTCACTTGACAATAAAGCCTCAACCCTAAGTCCAAACGCCACAGGGTCTAGGGTTTAGGGAGCCCCAAGCCTTATTATGATAACCTTACTGCCTATACGGTAGTTTCCCAACATAGGGGGACCCCAATATAGACCCAAATATGCTATAGTCCTTATTATGGGGACCTCCAAAATGCTACCCCTAATTTTAGGAAACCCTAAACCCTAAATAGTAGTTTCCATCTTCTTTTCCATTATCCCAATATATACAATATGACCCCTAGATGATTCCTATATCCCTAAACCCTAAACCCCTAAACCCTAAACCCTAAACCTATATACCCTATATAACCCATATATAATCCCCCCAAGAGTCCCCCAGCCGCCCAGACTGCGAGGCATCCTTGAGTCGCTACAGCTCCGGGAAGTCCCACAGGTTGCAACAGGGGGGTTTAGGGTTTAGGGTTTAGGATAGGGTTATAGGGTACTATAGGGT